CTAGGACATAGCATGCGTCTTCATCACATTTATCATAGATGTCCGTTGACCGTGCAAGGGAAGCAATTCCCTGCAGATTTGATAGAGCTACCACACAAGGAGTTTGATATTATCCTTGGTATGGATTGGCTCACCGAGCATAGAGCAGTGGTCGACTGCAGTTGTCGGACCGTACGGCTGAGAGCCGAGGACGGTAGCGACGTATTACTCTTCGGGGAAGTGTTCCCCAAGACTCCCGAGTTCATATCATCCTTGAGCGCGAGGCACTTGGTTCGCAAGAAGTGCGAGATGTTCCTATGTCACGTTCAGGATGTGCGAAAAGAATCGCCACGTCAGCAGGACATTCGTACGGTTTGCGACTTCCCCGATGTCTTTCCCGAAGACCTACCTGGTTTGCCTCCGTCGAGAGAGGTAGAGTTCTCGATCAATCTCATTCCGGGTACGGAACCCATATCTGCTACACCGTATCGTATAGCACCTACCGAGATGAAGGAGTTGAAGGCTCAGTTGCAAGAGCTACTGGAAAAGGGATTCATCCGACCTAGCGTTTCCCCATGGGGAGCACCAGTGTTATTTGTTCGAAAGAAAGATGGATCCATGAGACTTTGCATCGACTACAGACAGTTGAACAAAGCTACAGTGAAGAATCGTTATCCGTTGCCTCGCATCGACGACCTGTTTGTACAAAGCTACAGAATTGTACAAAATCATATTTGTATGGTTTATAATTAATTGGTAACAAAATAGGATTTTAGAGCATATTTTCATAATATTTTCAGAACAGGATCTGTACTTGAGGAAAATTGATTTTAATTTTTTTAAAATAATCAATTAATACCTAAAAATCGATTTTTATATTTAAAATAATCCATTAATAGCTAATAATCGATTTTCATATTTTAAATAATCAATTAATTGCTAAAAGTCGATTTTTATATTTTAAATAATCAATTAAATACTAAAAATTGATTTTTTTTATTTTAAATAATCAATTAATTGCTAAAAATCTATTTTTATATTTTAAATAATCAATTAAATGCTAAAAATCGATTTTTAAATTTTAAATAATCAATTAATTGCTAAAAATCGATTTTTAGTTTCAAAATAATCGATTAATACTTTTTAAATCGATTTTTATATTTTATATAATCGATTATATACTGAAGTAAATAATAGATTTTCGATCATCATCAGTCAGTTTCGTATTATCATTTTTAATCACCAAATTTCAATTAAATTATATAGAAATGTTCTCCTAGGTTCATAGATCATTTTAGAATCATTAAAACAAATTTTTAACATCAAATTCAAGGTTTATGATTCTTGGTTCTTTAAACATGTCAAACACAAAACTCAACCAAACGACTTTTTATGAATATTAAAACAACCTACATAAACATTCTAGTCTTAAGATATATGTACGGGCTTACCTTGAAGCGTAAGGGAGGTTTTTATGATTTTCTGGCAAAATTTCCAGCGACTCTATCTTACTACTCTGGCAACCTCACACAAAGATGACAGCACCACTGCACTCCACTCTCAGCAAGGAACAATATAGAAGGAAGAATGAGTTGTTTTGGTGAAGAAATGGAGGAATTGGCTCTCCTTAAATAGACAAGTGAAGGAGGAAGAAGACAGGGAGTTTGCAGCTTCCTTGATTGCACGGTGATTCGGATTTTGGAATCGGCGTAATTGAACAGGGCACAGTTTGGTACGTAGTCCCTGACTGGGACTAATATTTGGTCCCAGTCGGGGTATATTTTTTGGTCCAACTTTCTCTAAATTGAAATCCGATTGAACTGTTGGGTCAGACAGTCAAACTCTACACAACGATATAATTTTTATTAATTATTGACAAACTTTAGGATTTACTTATTTTGGGTCCTTCTCAGTAATTAATTAATTATCAATTAATTAATTCTGATAGGCCTATTTTCGGGGCGTTACAAGGTTGATGATCAATCAGATATTTTTCTCCAGTCTTCCAAGGAAGCTATTTATAGCTGGATTGGATAATCTATCAGTTGAATCAAAATAGACTATTCGTTGCATTTGCTGGCTTCAATTTTGAATGATGTTGTGATTGAAGATTCTTCATTGGAATGGGTGTTTGGACGTACCCAATTATTTGAGGAGGGATTCCTTTTTTCACAAAATCCGTCTTTTAGCTGTTGTTCAAGAATTCTGGACTGCCGCTCTTTATTGAGTGGAGTACTCAATTTGTCTTCTAGTGCTTGTTTAGGAATTCTGGGCGAGCTCTTCAATTTGAGAGGTCCAGACTTTGTCTATAAGTCATTTGTTCTTGAATCAGCATAATTTTCTTCAATGTAGCCGTTGAAAATCAAGAGATTAATTTTTCCTTACCAACAGATAGAATTTCTTCATTCAAGACTTAGAATTTAAGTAAGTCTTTTTCTCACTTGTCCGCTTCTGAGAATTCCGGTTTTTCTTGAGGCATCCGGTTCTTTACTGACGAATCCGGAAAGGTCATTCATAGACTTACGGGTGAGAAAGAGATCCACGCTGGTCTTCCGATCTGGATGACTTAGCCCTTAGCGGATTGTTTGTGAGACATCCGGTTATCATGTAGTGTTCCAGAATAGAGGATCTTCAAAGTAATCAACTGCTTTGAGAATTCCTTACTTGTCTCTGACATATCCGATCAAGATATCCAATTACCATATCACTGAATTTGATTAAGTCTCCAAACATTGACATCAAACCACAGAGTGAAATATCACATCTTTATTGGAAATCTCAAGAACTCAGTTTTAACAATATTTCTAAAAAGAAAAATTACATTAAGTATTTGGAGGAGACCTAAAGTCCTTATTACAATCTAAATACATCATCATCAAAATCTATAATATTTTTTCCAACAATTTCCCCCTTTTTGATGATGACAAACAAGTGTTTAAGAGTTCCGGTTGCTGTACTGAGAACTAATTTTATAACTTTTTTTAGTTTCTCATAATATACAGCTTGTTAACAAACACTCTTAAACAAGTACAATCTAAATTACAACAGTTCATAAACCAAGTCTTGTATTGAGATCTGTGATATTTCGGCCATTTGCTTCTTTCATTTCCAGTGGATTTTGCTTGGTAGTACAGATGGCGTTGCGTTTGATGGATCTTTAATATCGAAAGTGGATATTTGAGATCTAGGAAACAACAACTACTCTCCAAAAAGCAAAAACAAAGACAAAAAGAGATGGGAGGGTAGGAGGAGCTGGTGAAAGGCAAGAAAAAGACAGAAGGACAAGAAAAAAAAGGTTTTGGAAAAGAGAATTGATTGTGAAAAAGAAGATGAAAGAAGGGTGTTTAAAGATGAAGGAAATTTTTTTTTTGAAAAAAGGCTTGGGAGAAGGGTGCAGAGACAACATAAATAAAAGAAAAGAAAAGAAAGAAAGAAGGGGAGAGGGAGAAATGAAAGTAGGCCAAGAAAAATTTAAAAAAAAAATAAAATTTGAAGACCAAAAAGGAGAAAAGAAAAAAAATGGAGAGAGTGTTGCTCCAGAGAAGATATGTGACGAGATGCAAAAATATGCGAGATTCTCATCAAATATCCTCTCTACTGCCGAGATTCCCACCAAATATATTGAGTATCTTTTCTTCTCACCAGGCATTCTCCATTGCCGTCTATGAGGGTGAGAAAGAAAAATTTCTCCATTGAGGATATTTTTCTTGGTGTTTTTCTCAGACAGTGAGTTTGTAAACTTTTCATATTGAGAGAGTTGTTTGTGATAGGATTGGATTGGAATGTCTTGGTTTAAATAGGAGGAGAGGTTGAGAGAGGGGAGGTTCACGGGTTCCATTTAGTGGGTAGTTGGAACGGTGAGAGTAAAAGAGTTTCAACTTCCAAGAAGTTGAAATCTGAAAAGTTGAAGGAACCAAAGTGTTGAAACTTTTCCAATTAAAAGTCAGTTTCGTTTGGTTTGAAAAACATAACTGTTCTGGTTTGGCTAAGCCCAAAAGAGTGACCCAAAAAAAATCTATGCACTAAGGGAAATTATTCCTATTGGGTTCTCAAGGCCCAAAATAAAACTATCATTTTTCATTCCCTATAGTTCTAATTTCTAATTAGGACGAGGTAGTACCAAAAGAAAAATTATGAAATTTTCTTTTAAAAGAAAAGTGGTACTATTTTTCCAAAGTCCTGTACATTATAAAAATCCTAAGGACCAGTGCTTTAGAGCAAAGTTGGAACTGAACTAAGGATTAAAACTCAGTTTAAGAAGACAGATTTTGTAGAGTACCTGAATCGGAGATCTCCAACTTTAGTACTAATACTGAGGTATCCATCTTCCATTGCTTAGAGTTCATCAATGGTTCATTACAAAAAATAATTGTTAGCCAGGAACAGTTAAGTTCCCCTGAATTATATTCCCCCTGAATGTATGCTCTTAATAATGAATCTCAAAAATGATACTTAAAATGAATATGATCAAGTATAATTGAGAGAAGTATTAAGCAATGTTTAAACCAAAACCCATGTTTAAACAAGAAGGTGTGTTTTCATCAAAACATAAATAATGTTTTCAATACTTCCCCCTATTTTGATGAAAAGAGCCTTTACTTCTTCTTGCGCTTAGATGATTCGGCAATCTCACCAATGCCTTGCATAACTCCACATTCTTCCTGTATGCGCTTGAGGTTGTTATATCTTTCTTCTGTTTGGGCATCATTTGTGAAGTAGGAGACAATGGTTCCTATAGCTTCTGTTCCATCACACTCAGTGTTTGATAGATGCTGGATTGAGTTCTGCGGATTGCTCTGCTGGGCTTCAAGTATCGGCTCCGTCATGTTCAGATGTGATGGAATGTATGATAGTTCTCCTTGTTTAACTTCAATCGGAAACTTTGGAATTTGAGATGGACTTCAGGGTTGGACAATCACTTCCAGCTTGTGTTTTCCAGTGAAGGTACCAAAGTGCCTGAAGAGTCTGAATGCTTCCTTCTGATTGTCAGCAAGAACTTTTAGGTAATCTTGAGTTACCACCTGGTTTGCTGATGATACTGTCAAGGCTGATCTGATATCCATCTAGAGGAGTGACATCTGCTTCTGAAGGTTGATTGTGACTGTGGCAATCTGCTGCTTGATTTCAGTGGCTTCTTTGAATTGAAGGTGGCAGTCAGATGCATAGGCCATCATTGTATTGGTCACAGACTTACTCTATAGAGAAATGATCTCTAGAGTTTTGTCTACAGATTTGCTTATCTCATTGAGATTTGAGCAATACTTTTCTTCAGATTTCTCCATCAATTTCTTGTGCCTTGCTTCCATCTGCTCTATCTCTTGCCTAAAAGAGGCATGCTAGGACTTTAGGGCTGATTCAATCAACCCTTGGACTTTTCTTGTCCAGGTTTCCGGAATCTCATCTGGAGGGGTGGCTGTGGAAGAGCTGTGAAAGTGGAAGTTTGTTACCTGTTTTGAAGAAGGTACTCTGTGGAAGAGTTGCAGAGGGAGGGATTCAACATCATCTCCTTGCTCAACTTCTTCTTGATCAATCTTCAGAGTCTTCACTGACTCTTCTTCTGTCTCTTTATTTGCATAATTTGAGATTTCCCTAGAGAGGGAATCTCTGACTTCATCTTCAGCTTGCTGCTCTAGGATAGTTACTGGAGGTTCAGAGGCCTCTAGCCTAGCTATTTGACCTTCTCCTTCAGCTTCTGCAAAACTTCTCTGGACTTCAACTGCTGAGTCTTCCTGACGAGCTTCATTTGTTTCTGGAGGAGTGGACTTCTCCATATTTTCATTTGACTTCTCCCGAATCTCAAGTTCAGTTGATTTGGAGATCTCACAAGGGGTTGTGAGAATCTCTAGAACTTGAGATTGGAGGAGTTGCTGAAGTTCTTCGTTTGAAATTTCTTGATTCTGTTCTTGCAGGGGAGAGTTTGCATCTTCCTGGACAGCTTCTGGCAGAACAGTTTCAAAAGCAGGGGAGGTTTCCGGAAAAATTTGGAAATCCTCTGCTGTTGCTTCCATGTCAATCTATGCTCTAGTGGTGAGAGCAGTCTGATCTTCAGTTGGCTTTGAGAGGATTGGTTTGTAGACTGCTGGGTCCTCATCATCAGCTTCAAACTCTGAAGTTAGAGAGATGCCAAGAATTCCAGATGCAGATCTCCATAGGTTTTCTGCCATACCCAGTTATCATCTAGAAATTGCTCACAACAGTGGTTGATTGGCAGTCCCAAACATCTCTTGATAACCTTCTCATTTTTCAGTTGTTGATCCCATTCAATCAACTGATCTGCAGAGTTTCCAACTTTCCAAGCTCTCCAATCATAGTAGAGCTGCATGAATTGGCTCACTTCATCACCAGTTTGAGCTTGTAGAGGGGGAGATGGAAAACTTTGATTTTGAGGGATTTCTTCATCCAGCTGTTGAGGGCTCTAGTTGTGTGTAGAGTCTTCCTTAACTGGTTCCTTTTCTACCAACTCATCCAGGTTGGCATTTCCAGATGTGGAGGGAGAGGAGATTCTTCTTTTCTTCTTCTTCTGAAGTTCACCATGAGCAGGAACTTCTTCTTCTTCATCCAAATTAACCAAAGCAAGGTTTTGTGGTGCTTCAGCACTGGGGGAGGGAGACACCACAAGCTTCCTTTTTGATGACTTCTTCAGACTCACAATGAGGACATTGTCTGAAGAGCCTTCATCCCCTGCAGTTGAACTTGCTCTGTTTTCTCCTTTGGAAGACAGATAGTAGAGCCAATATCTGGCATCATACTTCTTGCCTTCAGAGGCAACACCCATGGATTCCAAAATGTACCCAAGGTACAATCCTTGACACAAATACTTCTGTTTGCGCTTCCCTAAGTGGTTAGAAATGGAATTGAAGAAGTGTTTAGCCGAATTTTCCTTGGTTCTGGTAATGAGGGCATTGATGATGAATGCCCTTTCCTGATTAATGTCATCTACATGTCCTCCGCTTCCACATTCAAGGCATGCAATGACTAGCTCCAGAACCAATTTGTAGTCGTTTTTCAAAACGGCTTTCTTTGCTGAGCTAGAGGGGATTTGCCCAGAAATTCCAATAGTTTTCCAGTCCAGATTCTTGGACGAGAGCTTCCCAATTTCAATTCCAGAGTTGGGAAGTTGGAGCTTTTTCTGCATCTTTTTTTGTGAGATCTTCACTTTCATGCCTCCAATAGTTGATTTGATGAGCTGAATCGATCTTTCTGGATTCTCCTTTGATTTGAAAGTATTGATTTCTCCATTTCTGAAGAATTCCAGAACTTCTTCTTCATATTTGAATCCGTTTCCAGATGAAGGAATTCGGAGAGTTCATGTGCATTAATCATCTCCAAGTAAGTTGGATAGAACGCCGGTGAAGAGCATTTGGCTTCCAATTTCTGGAAATGGACATTAGCGCCAACAATCTTCATTTCTGTTGAATTTTGAGTGAAAGAATCTGAAGAATTTTAGGGTTCTTGAGAATTCTTGCGAGGAAGGCGACGAAAATTTGAGTGGGCAGTTGAGATCTGAATATAGTGGCGATTGAGTTTAATTTTGGGCAATTTATGCGGCTAGTGGCGATTGGGTTTTTAACTGTTGCCAAGACCACGTGCCTACCCATTACTTTGACAGACGTGGAAAGTTGACTGCCACGTGTACCGCACTCAGTCCAATTGAATTAGACCAATTTTGTGAAGCAAATCGGAAAACTTGGCTTCACTTAGTGGTTTTGTGAAGATATCCGCCAATTGTTCTTCAGTTGAGTGATATGCACATATGTTATACAACACATATGTTATACACTTTTTAGACATATTTTGAAGGAGTTTTGAGTCCCAATTGAATTTAATATTTATATTTTATTTCAATTTTCCGTTTTATTTTGGGAGAGCAGTCCTATGCTTGGTTTTATATGTTTGCAGGTATTTTGAGGCCATTTGGACGCATTGAGAACGATTTCAAGAACGGAAAATGAACATGGAAGTTTGGGACCAAAATAAATGGAAGAGATTTGAAGGAATGAAGGAATTAAACAAAAATAAAGCATAAAACAACCCTGGGATTCGAACTCTGGACGTGCGCATGTGGAACCGGAGCTTTGACCATCGCGCCAAAGCAGAGTATTCAGAATATCACTGGCGGACACGGACAATGTTCTGAGTTTAAATTCGGCCATGATTTGAGAGAAAAATGACAAAACACCGTATATGCGCTACTGTGCTTGTATTGACTCCTAGTGGGACTGTTTGTATATACTCCGTATATACGAATTCATCTATAAAAACTCAACACTTCTCTTTTTCAAAAAGGTTGGAACTTCCCCACGTCTTACTCTCTCCATTTCCGAAATTCTTCTTCTCCCTCACTAATGTCTCACCACTTTCTTCTTCCAAACACATAAAAATCACTCCATCTTCATCATCATCTATCATATTTGGAGCTCAAGAACACATCTTCCATTTTTGTAAAATTTTTATTATTGTAATAAATATTTATTTGTTTAAGCTTCAAACTATAAACTTCTAAATTCCATTGGGGTTAGAAGTTGGTGTAATTAATTCGTCCATCTTAATGTTTTAAATATTTTTAACATGGATTGTTGATTTTATTTTTACTTAGATGTTGTATTTAAATATAAATAAATTTGGAATGTTTTTTATTATTAAGGGCCCAATCATAAACATAATTATTACAAGGAATATGAGTTAAAATTGATATAATCATAAAATAGAACACTTTTTAATTACACCGTAAGCCTTCTCTACCTTTAACCAGGATTGAAGACTTTCGGGTGGACATAATTATTGAGTTGTATTTTTACACCATTAAATTGGGTAAACATACAATAAATTAATTATGGTTGCCGTTGTTACTAAATAATCACTCTGAATTTATCATTAGCGTGTTAAAGTCGGAGTAATTATTATTTAGGTGAACTGCGAGAGCGTCCCTAAATACTTTTCTGCAACCCCACATATTCTATATAAAAATAAATTGACAATCCAACTTTTATAAAAACATTGGACAATTAATTTACCAATTTCTACTCCTAACTTTTCATCATCAAAAACTTTGTGTTGTTTGGAACTCTCTCCTTTTAAACTTTTTATTTTATCTTTAAAACCAAAAAAACCAAAAATATTTTACAACTTCTTTTGTAAACTTTTGTTTAAATTAAATTAACTCACGTCTCCCTGAGGTTCGACACCCTACTTACAAGGGATTCTTTTTAGTTGTTATTTTTTCCCGTTCTATACTGCAAATCAACTTGGCACCGTTGCTAGGGAGACGGTTTGAGTTTTTTTACACATAAGTTTTATTGTTTATTTGTTGTAAATCTTTGTTATTGTTTTGTTTTCCCTAACCTCTTCCTGCAGGTACTCAAAAACAAAAAAAAACAAAAAAAACTAAAAAAAACTGAACATATTGAACACTTATTGGACTTGGACATATTGACCTGGACATATTGAACATACCTGGACATATTGAACTATCCCACAGATCGGATTTTCTACCAACGGTGATTGGACATTTTTTTTTCTTTCTTTATTTTGCTCGCTGACCGGCAAAGCCGTCACAAGGTTTGTACATTTAATTACTGCACTTTACATTTCTGCATTTTTTTTCTCTTTCCAGGCGTGCAAAGCCGCTATTAGACATTATATCTATACACTATATATTATATATTATATATACTATATATATCATACATATATATATATATATATATATATATATATATATAATATTAGATATCTATATATTATTACTAACTCTTTTTATTTTTTTAGTGTCGTTGTTGGTTTATTACCGCTTAGCACTCTAACCGCTAACTACTAACTAAGGTATCACTTGTCTCGGTGGTTTTTACCTCTTGACTTAAGTGTGAGTCTTTTTTATTAATTTTTGCACATTACATTGTTTTCCTTTCTTCTTTTCCTTTCCCCCTTTCCCTTCTCTTTTCATTTTTCCATCTCTCCCCCCCTTTTATTTTCCTTCTATTTCCCTTTCCCTCCCCCCTCTCTAACCCTCCCCAATCCCTTTCTTTTTATGCTAACGCGTTCACATGGGATTAATCAAGAAAAACTTTTCTTTCCAGAAATTGAAAAATATTTGAAAGAAATAAGAAAAAGAAAGAAAATGGAAGTCCTAGGAACAATATTCGTGAAAATGTGCAGGAAATTGAGAGAAGACAAAATGAAGTTCCGAACAGGAGGACTCTTTCTGACTATGTCACTCCTCCTGTGGTGGAACATAACAGCATTATTCCGCTGGATGTCATAGCAAACAACTTTGAAATCAAACCTGCTGTCATCCACATGGTCTCATCTGATCAGTTTGGTGGAGGACTAACGGATGACCCACACAACCATATCACCAAATTCCTCCAAGCATGCAGCACGTTCAAGATCAATGGTGTACCAACTGATGCAATCAGACTTCGTCTGTTCCCATTTTCTCTAAGGTCAGAGCTCAAAGTTGGCTAGATTCATTTCCATACAATCACTTCACAACTTGGGACTAGCTTCATGGAGAATTTCTCAAGCGATTCTTTCCGCCTTCCAAAACAGCAAAAATCAGGCGGATGATACAAAATTTCAAGCACAATCCAAACGAGCCCCTTTACGAGGCTTGGGAGAGATTCAAAGATCTTCAAAGGCAATGCGCACATCACAATATCCAGTCCTGGAACCTAATGACAGCTTTCTATGAAGGTCTAAATGAAAACTCACGGATATTGTTGGATGCCTCAGTGGGCGGATCATTCATGAGCCTTGAACTTGACGAAGCTGAAGAACTCATTGAGCGGATCTCAACAAACGGATCCACCTGGTACTCTGATCGTCCATCCGCTCAACCGAAAATTGGAGGCATGTACGAAGTTGATCAAATGTCGGCCATGGCTGCTAAGGTCGTTAGCATGATGAGCATGATCCAAAAGATTGCTCAAGTCTCTGCTGTGCAAAACACTATGCCAACACTGCCTCCTGTTCCAGTTCTCTCGTGTGTATCCTGTGGTGGACAACATGATCAATCTTCATGTCCATGGGATGCAATGGAGCAAGTTAATAATGTCAACTACAATCAGCTGCAGCAACAACAAAATCCATTTGGTGGATTTAATTCTCAAAACAGAAATCATCCTGGTTTCTCATGGAGCAATCCCAGTGGAGCTGCCAATCCACAAGCTTATCGGAGTTCACCACCCGGATTTCAAAATCCGTAGCAACAACAATTTAGAGGTGGCCAAGGTTTTGCTAACAATCAAAAATTTAAGCAAAACCAAAGCTTCCCCTATGTTTCCAATCAACAAAAGCCGATTCTGCCAACTCCCGAAACAACATCAGTTCCCAGATTAGACAACATCGTTGGTCAACTTCTCAAATCTCAATTGGCCCAAGCTGAAACTTTGAAGCAGATAACAGAAGAGCTCACTCAACTTCGAGCTCACAATAGGATGCTTGAGAATCAAATTTCTAGTCAAGCATCAACATCCTCAACAAAGGTGACCGGAAAGTTGCCAGCTTGTGCTGGAAACCCAAGAGAGCAAATGAATGAAGTTACTATTTGGAGTGGGAAACAATTTCAATCTCCTCTCATTCCGAGTAGTGATCCCGATGATGAAATAAGGGAGGATGCAAAGGAAGAACCTCAAAACAAAGTAAAAGGAGATGCTGCTGAAATGCTGCCGGAGTCAATCCAGATCAAAGAAGGAAATAAGAAAGAAGATGAGGGTTTGATAAGGAAATATGCTCCACCAATTCCATTTCCAAACCGATTGAAGAAATCACACGTGGAGGAAAAAAGAAGCAAGTTCTTAAACCTTATCAAGCAATTGGATATATCTATTCCATTTCTTGATGCCATCACCGAAATTCCTTCATATGCCAAATTTCTCAAGGAGATCTTAACAAAAAAGAAGGAAAATCCTCTCATGGTGGCCATAAATCAAGAGTGTAGTGCCATTATTCAAAACAAGATCACACCAAAACTACGTGATCCTGGAAGTTTTTCAATTCCATGCTACATCGGAGGATCTGAAATAAATAAAGCTCTTTGTGATCTTGGTGCAAGTGTTAGCTTGATTCCATACTCTATATGTCAAAAGCTACACTTGGGTGATCCAAAACTAACAACCATGGCACTACAATTGGCCGACCGTTCTGTCAAGTACCCCATTGGTATTCTTGAAGATGTTCCCGTCAAGATTGACAAATACTATATCCCGGGAGACTTTGTTGTCTTGGATATGGAAGAAGATGATCAAGTTCCTATCATTCTAGGGAGACCATTTCTAGCTACCGCGGGAGCTGTCATAAATGTGAAGAAGGGTACGCTCATCCTTGAAATCGGCGACGATAAGATCGAGTTCAATATACAAGAGCCAAGTAAAAAAGTTGCTTGTGTTCTTGACTGTTTTAATGTGAACATCGTTGATTCATGTGTTCTTGATGTTGAGAAATCACACTTACTTCCAAAAGATTCACTCGATCGTGGGGTGAATCCTATGTCCAAAAATGGAGTCCCTAAAGTGAAACTCAAATCTGTGTCACTTACTAAACAACTGCATGAAAAGGTAATCTCTAAACGAGATTCTGCACTTGGAGGCCAGGTACTTTTCTTTAACTCTCACTTTAAATTACCTGGTGAAAATGGGTCAAGCTAATGACCTTAAAGAAGCGCTTCTTGGGAGGCAACCCAAGTTTTCAAATTCTGCATTTTTTTGTTTTAATAAGGTAATTGGATTTCAATAAGGCGTTTTCCAATTCACGCCATGTAAAAAAATCAATTTACCAATTTTATTATTTTAGGAATTGTTTACTTAATCCTTCTTCATTTTTTTACACTGAGGACAGTGTAAATTTTAAGTGTGGGGGAGTAGGTAAATAAAACTTGATTATTTATGTGCATTTTCAAATAAAAAAAAGGAAAAAAAATTGCTTTTCATTTTTTTGTTTTGTTTTTTTATGTGTTTGTGTTGAATGATGAACAGTCTTGATCCAAAAAGTAAAATTGAACATACAAATTCTTTGTTTATATGTCTTGTTAATATCTATATACATAACCTTGTAAATTACAAAATCATCTCTTTTGACGGAATGTGGTATGAGTCTGAAAATTGTTTCATTATAATATCTTGAGAGTAACTCTGTTTGAGCCTTGAGATAATTTATGTTAATAATTTAACATAGAATACTATAGAGTTTTTCCAATTTATTGGTTTACTAGCTAAACTTAGTTATAACTTTTATAGACCATGATGTTTCACATTTGTTCTCCATGAAAATGATGTTTTAATTTGACACATTTAGACATGATATAGGCCACCTTTGTTTAACCTCTCAAACCAAGCCTACCCAATTCAAAAAAAAAACCCTAGTTGTCCCCTTTTGAGCCTTTTTCTGTAAATAAGTGTTAACCCTAAACCATTTTGCCAAAATAAATTATCATTCCACCCTAGAGTAGATTGTCTTATTATTTGAGAAGGAACTTAAAAAAAGTTAATAATTGGAGCACTGTGTATTTTTGTAAATAATTGAGTATGTCATTTTTTTTCTTTTGTATCAAAGTTGTACATTCTTTGTCTTTGTAAAGATAATAATAACTTAGTGTGCCTTCAAAAAAAAGAATAAAAAAAAGTTAAAAAAAAGGTAAAAAAAGCAAAAAAAAAAATAAAAAAAAGTTGAAAAAAAAGAAGCACACTAATCTTGAACTCTTTAGATTTTTAGACATTATTCTTCTTGGGCACAAAAAAATAAATAAATAAAAAATGTCCGTACCATTTACTGTATTCTTTGTAAAATAATTGTCATTTTTCATTTTCGAGTCATTTGTTTACCTTGCTCCATAGTTACATTTGTAGTAATTTTTGAGTTTCTGATCGAAATAAGTATAATCTATCTCTTTTTGTTTGTCCTTTATACCCTTTCTTTGTTTGCCCACTTACCCTTAGCCCCATTACAAGCCGAATAAAAGTCCTAATTGATCTTTTGTGTCACTTTTAAAATAATTGGATTGGAGAAACTTTGTTTATATTAGTTTAAGTAGTTTAGCACTATAGGTGTTTGTGTTAGAGTATTAACATGAAAGTTTCTAGGATAGGCAATATTACTCAAGTTACTCTCATTTTATTATTTTGTGACAATTCATGGTTTTGGATAGTTTGGTGGACAAAAGAGATGATTGTGTGATTTGTAAAATCATGTATGTAAATTCTAACAACACATGTAAAGATTGTATTTGTAGTTTATTTTGCTTGAGGACAAGCAAAAGCCTAAGTGTGGGGGAGTTGATATGCACATATTTTATACACTTTTTAGACATATTTTGGAGTTTTGAGTCCCAATTGAATTTAATATTTATATTTTATTTCAATTTTCCGTTTTATTTTGGGAGAGCAGTCCTATGCTTGGTTTTATATGTTTTGCAGGTATTTTGAGACCATTTGGACGCATTGAGAACAATTTCAAGAACGGAAAATAAACATGGAAGTTTGGGACCAAAATAAATGGAAGAGATTTGAAGGAATGAAGGAATTAAACAAAAATAAAGCGTAAAACAGCCCAGGGATTCAAACTCTAGACGTGCACATGTGTAACCAGAGCTTTGACCATCGCGCCAAAGCAGATTATTCGGCATATTGCTGGCGGACACGGAAAATGTTCTGAATTTAAATTCGGCCATGATTTGAGAGAAAAATGACAAAACACCGACACTGGATGGGGAATCAAACACGGGATAAGTGGCGAGACAAACAACCTCAATTCCACGTGCGCTACTGTGCTTGTATTGACTCCTAGTGGGACTGTTTGTATATACTCCGTATATACGAATTCATCTATAAAAACTCAACACTTCTCTTTTTCAAAAAGGTCGGAACTCCCCCATGTCTTACTCTCTCCATTTCCGAAATTCTTCTTCTCCCTCACTAATGTCTCACCACTTTCTTCTTCCAAACACATAAAAATCACTCCATCTTCATCATCATCTATCATATTTGGAGCTCAAGAACACATCTTCCATTTTTGTAAAATTTTTATTATTGTAATAAATATTTATTTGTTTAAGCTTCAAACTATGAACTTCTAAATTCCATTGGGGTTAGAAGTTGGTGTAATGAATTTGTCCATCTTAATGTTTTAAATATTTTTAACATGGATTGTTGATTTTATTTTTACTTAGATGTTGTATTTAAAAATAAATAAATTTGGAATGTTTTTTATTATTAAGGGCCCAATCATAAACATAATTATTACAAGGAATATGAGTTAAAATTGATATAATCATAAAATAGAACACTTTTTAATTACACCGTAAGCCTTCTCTACCTTTAACCGGGATTGAAGACTTTCAGATGGACATAATTATTGAGTTGTATTTTTACACCTTTAAATTGGGTAAACATACAATAAAATAATTATGGTTTCCGTTGTTACTAAGTAATCACTCCGAATTTATCATTAGCGTGTTAAAGTCGGAGTAATTATTATTTAGGTGAACTACGAGAGCGTCCCTAAATACTTTTCTCCAACCCCACACATTCTATATAAAAAGAAATTGACAATCCAACGTTTATAAAGTCATTGGACAATTAATTTACTAATTTCTACCCCTAATTTTTCATCATCAAAAACTTTGTGTTGTTTGGAACTCTCTTCTTTTACACTTTTTATTTTATCTTTAAAACCAAAAAGACCAAAATATTTTACAACTTCTTTTGTAAACTTTTGTTTAAATTAAATTAACTCACGTCTCCCTGAGGTTCGACACCCTACTTACAAGGGATTCTTTTTAGTTGTTATTTTTTCCCGTTCTATACTACAAATTATTGAGATATACTCAATTTTGATATCTTTCGTTTCCACATGATCTCTGATGAAGTGATGCTTGACATCAATGTGCTTACTGCGAGAATGATGACTGAATTTTGTGAGATGGCTATAGCACTTTGATTGTCACAAAATATTGTCACTTCCTTTGTTTTGACTTCATAATCTAGTAGTTGTTGCTTTATCCACAAGATTTGTGCACAACAACTACCAGCAGCAATGTACTCTGCTTCTGCTGTTGATGTAGAGATGGAGTTCTGTTTCTTACTGAACAAAGAAACAAGATTTCCACCAATGAATTGACAAGTACTAGATGTACTCTTCTGGTCAACTTTGCATCCGGCAAAGTTAGAATATGAGTATCCAACTAACTCAAATGTGCTGCTCTTAGCATACCATAAACCCATATTCTGAGTTCCTTTGAGGTATCTAAGAATCCTTTTGGCTGCAATTAAGTGACTTTCCTTTGGCTTTGATTGGAATCTGGCACAAACACCTACTGCATATGAGATATCCGGATGGCTTGCAGTAAGGTAGAGTAGAGATCCAACTATTCCTCTGTAGAGAGTCTGATCAACATCCTTTCCATCTATATCCATATCAAGCTTGGTGGATGTACTCATGGGGACATAAACGGATGACTTCTGATCAACTTTGAATTTGTTGATAAGATCCCTAGTGTACTTGGCTTGGTTGATGAGAGTCCCTTCAATTCTCTGTTTGATTTGGAGACCAAGGAAGTAGTTGGGTTCCCCCGTCATGCTCATCTCAAATTTTCCTTGCATGAGAGTGGAGAACTTGGTGCAAAGAGCTTCCTTAGTTGAGCCAAATATGATGTCGTCCACATAGATTTGGACCAATAAGAGATCTTCTCCATCTTGAAGTTTGAACAAGGTTTTGTCAATGACTCCTTTGATGAATCCATTGTCTATAAGGAATTGAGACAATGTATCATACCAAGCTCTTGGTGCTTGTTTGAGTCCATATAGCGCCTTTTTGAGTCTATACACTTGATCGCCTTTAGTGTGTAACTCAAATGCTGGAGGTTGTTCCGCATAAACTTCTTCCTCTAGGTTTCCGTTGAGAAATGCGCTTTTGACATCCATTTGATAGACTTTGAAGTACTTATGAGCATCAAAGGCTAGAAATAGCCTTATAGCTTCAAGTCTAGCAACTGGAGCGAAGGTTTCATCAAAATCTATACCTTCTTCTTGACAATAACCTTTAGCAACCAACCGGGCTTTGTTTCTGACAACAACGCCGTTTTCATCCATCTTGTTCCGGAAGACCCACTTTGTCCCAATGACATGTTGATGAGTTGGTCTGGGAACAAGTTTCTAGACGTCATTTCTGGTAAATTGGTTGAGTTCTTCTTGCATTGCATTGATCCAGTCAGAATCAACTAGAGCCTCTTCAATACTCTTTGGTTCCACTTGTGAAATGAAACAAGCGAGCATGGCTTCTAGATTCTGTTGAGCACTCCTTGTGCGAACGCCTGACTGAATATTTCCAATAACTTGTTGAGGAGGATGATCCCTTAACCAACGAAGATTGTGTTGATTAGGGTTGACTGGTTGATCTAGTTCAGCTTCTGGTTCAAGAACATAATTTGTTGGTTATTCTGGATGGATTGGCACTAGGTCGCCATTTCCGGAATTGTCGCCATTTGAGTTATTTGGTATATTGGAATGCTGGCTATGCTTTCCGGTAAGCTCAGCACTGTTTGAATCCGGATTTCTTTGTGAAGTCTGCAGTGGTAGACTTCCGAATGGAATGAACTCCGTAGGCTTCATTCTATCTCCTTCATTGATCTCTTCATCCTTGTCTGAAAGATCCAGAACCTCATGATCATGCTTTGATGGCTTGTCAACAACATGTTTTTCATCAAAAATAACATGTATTGATTATTTAGTGATCATGGTCCTTTTGTTGAAGACTCCGAATGCCTTGCTCACCATAGAATATCCAAGGAAGATGGCTTAATCTGATTTCTCATCAAAAGTGTTCAGATGATTTTTCCCGTTGTTCAACACAAAACACTTGCTCCCAAAAATATGGAAATATGATATATTAGGCTTTCTCTCATTCCATAGTTCATAGGGAGTTTTGTTGTGCCTTTTATAAATCATACTCCTATTTTGAGTATAGCAGGCTGTGTTTACAGCTTCAGCCTAGAACCTCTTTGGTAAGAAAGCTTCGGCTAGCATGGTTCTTACTGCTTCCTTCAAGGTTCTGTTCCTCCTTTCAGCTACACCATTCTGTTGAGGTGTTCTTGCAGCGGACGTCTGATGAAGAATTCCGTTTTGTTCACAGTAATGAATGATGATTTCATTCAGGAATTCCGTGCCTTTGTCAGATCTGATCTTCTGGATGGTCTGACTTGCTTGATTTTGAATCAGCTTCATGCAGTTTGTGAGCTTCCCTTGTGTTTCCTTCTTGCTGTTGAGGAAGATTGTCCACGTGTATCTTCAATAATCATCAACTACTACCAGGACATATTTCTTTCCACTTAGACTTATTAGTGTAACAAGGCCAAATAAGTCCATGTGAATAAGGTTTAGTATCCTTGTAGTTGAGGGTGGCGGTTTTGCCTTGAAAGTAAACTTGACTTGCTTTCCTTTATGACAGGCATCAGAAATGCTTTCCTTTCTGAACACAGCTTTGGAAAGTCCTTCTACTAACCCTTCTTTGGATAGCTTGTTGAGGGTTTTGAAATTGAGATGACTCAACCTCTTATGCCAAAGCCATAGAAGGTTAGTGCCACCTTTGCTGATTAGACATGCTTCCTTGACATCGTCCCATATTACTTCATAGATGTTTCTGATTCTCTTCCTAGTGAGAATGACTTCATTTGTGGAGATGTTCTTGAGGGATGCCATGTCCTTGCAGAATTCTAGAGAATAACCTTTATCACAAAACTGACTTATGCTAAGAAGGTTATAGTTGAGACCTTCCACATAAGATACAGCTTGGATGGTTAGTCCCTTGTACACCAGATTTCCTAGCCCTTTTGTAAGGCCAAAATCATTGCATCCTCCAAAAGTAACTCTTGGACCATCATAGGGAATTAGATTGCTCAAAAGGCTCGCATCACCCGTCATGTGTCTTGAACAGCCATTGTCTAAGTACCAGACACCTGGGTACTTAGCGGCTTCTTGCATTAGGAGAAGGAAGGTTTTGGTAACCAATTCAGTTTGGGTCCGAAATAGTTAATGGTGTGTGTCCCTACATCAAGTTTGAAGTTGCAGGGAATTTTCCTTGCAGCTCTAAACTTGTTGGGATTTGTAGTCGTAGTTGTAGGCATAAAACTTCCTGCGAGCAGGTGGTATAATTTCTTGTTTCCTCCTAGCAAACCTAGGTTGATAAGACCTATAGTTTTGTCTAGGTTGTGCATAGTGTGGCCTGTGACGGTTGTAAGCATACTTAGGTGGAACAAATAGTTTCTGGGGTGGAGGATGGCTATATCTTGGCATAGTTCTCCACTCAGAATTTCTTGGAAAACTCCTATCTACCCCATAATGAGTATAGCCTCATGTATAGTGGGGGTTAGAAGGTTTTCTTCTGAAATTGTTTCCGTTTTGAGGTGTGTCCAGCTTTCTATAGTTCTTAGGAGGGACTACCTTTTTGGGAACTTCTTTAGGTTTCCCCTTCTCCTTACCTTTCTGCTTATTGAGTTTGGCAGTAGGTTTGGGAGGGATAAAAGTTGTTCTCCCTTTCCTTTTGGAACTGGAGGGGTCAAAACCAAGTCCTTCACGACCCTTAAGTTTGGTCGTTTCAAGAAGCTTATCCACTGCTTCTTTAGACTTCAGTATCCCTAGCTCCTTGTTGAGGGATTTCACCTTTTCAAAAAGAGGTTCATTCTCAGCCTTGAGTTGAGTGATCTCACTTAGTTGACTTTTCCGACTTTCAGTCAACTTGAGTTTCTCTTCACTCAATAGTTTGTTCTCTTCTGTTAAGGATGAGTGTTTAAGATTTATTTCCTCAAAATCTTCCACCATCTTTTTGAACTTGTCAAAAAATTTTCAGAGGTTGGTATGCTTTCGTAAGAAGATGAGCATGAGGTTTGTGATGTTACCTCTTGTTCAGCATCATCTTTGGCCATTAAAAAAAGAAAGAAAAAAAAACAAATATCTATAGCTTTAAAAAAAGAAAGAAAAAAACAAATATGTATAGTTTTTAAATGTAATCCTCATATGTCTTTTTTATGAGTTAGTGTTGAAATCATGAAACAAGGCACCAACAAGATAGAATTAGAAATCTTGCAAGTATTATGACGAGAGGGCAACACAAAGAAAAACATAAGCTTGCAAAAGTGTAGCAGTGTATCTGTATATGCATGAACAGAGTTCAGAATACATTTTGGTTATCATTCAAAAGGCCATACCCAAATCTGTCCCAATAGTAGGCCAAAAGGCGTATTATTATAGCATTATTATGCAAAAATTGCAGAATATACGAACTATATTATGCCAAAATTGCAGAACATACGAACTAAAAAAACTGATAATTACTTTACCTTGAAGGCTTTTGTATCCGATTGCTTCACTTTTGAAGAATGATTAATCACTTTACCTTGAAGGCTTGAACACGATGAAAGAGAAGAACCTCTGCCGACGGAGAAGGAGATCGAAAAGATGCTCTTGGGAAAGAAGAGAAGAAGATTTTAGGAGGAGGAGATCGAGAAGTTACGACCGGCTCTTGGACTCCAGAAAATCCCTGCGATTTTGGTTGGATTTGAAGACAAATTTTTAAGCCGTAATTCAAACAAAAAATTCATGAGAATCCATTTTTTATAACAATCCATAAAAATCTATCAACTTTTGAATATCATTAGATTTAGAAAGATTTTTTAAAATCTCAATTGAATACCTCCAAAATTTAATTGATTTTTCAAAATCCTAATTGAATACCCACTGACTTTTAAAATTCAAAAAAATCCTACAGAGTCTGGATTGAATACACCCCTCTAAAGGGTGGTTGTAATGGGGATGGTTTGGGATATAAACTCAACTTGAACTCAACTTTATAAGAAGGGTGTATTCAATCTTGATTCTGTAGGATTTTTTTAGATTTTAAAAGTCAGTAGGTATTCAATTGAGATTTTATAAAGTTCTTTAAAATCTCATAGTATTCAAATTAGAGTTTGAAATGTCTATCAAAATCTTATGGTATTAAACACTCCATGGATTTAGAAAGATTTTTATCAAATGTAGATTTTGATGCTATTTTTCTAAAGGAAACATTACGAACAAATCCTTTGCCACATTCAAAGATTTTAAAGTATTTTGCTCCAAGCATTTCCCCACTTTGGAAACAAGCTTCGATCTAGTGGCTGAAAGCCGTCCAATCCGATACACCAAAGTCAGGCCCATCCACGTACGTTCAATATATCTGAGCCAGACTGCAACCATGTCATTCGCTGGAGTCATTGTTGTTGTGGCCGGGACGGTGGCACCGGCCTACTGTCGGTAATTAAGGGTGGCAATGGCAGCAACCTAAGGGTTTAGACCTCTTGGATGGTGGTGATGTCTCAGACCCGTCACGGAGAAGGGACGCCGACGAACAAATCTGTAAAAACGAAGGGGGAGAATGAGGGGGAAGAAGAAAACAGATAGATCGAACACATAGATCGAGGAGAAAGAAGGTGGGGAAGAGGAAGGGGGAGGGTGGAAGAGGAGAGAAAAAGAAGGGCAAAAATAAAAAGGAAAAAAAATGACAGAGGAAAAAAAATAAGCAGATCTTCACTGGTGGAGAAAATGAAGAAAGAAGAAAAGGAAAAGAAAAAGAAAGAAAAAATAAGAAAGAATGGAGAAGAAGAAAAATGGTACAGGGGGAGAAATGGGTGGAGAAACAGAGAAAAAAGATCTATGCAAAAAATGAGAGAGAAAAAGGGAAAATGAAAAAAAAATTATTGTAATTCATACGGAGTAGATGATAAATTATCATACAAAATCCTATAAAATCTTTTTGGAAAATAAATTAAAATCTATGTAACTCTGTGTGGATTTAACACAATCTATACACTTCACATAATCCATAGATTCTAAACAATATATCAAAATCTTTTAAAATCTGAATTGAATACACCCACCTTAAGTCTTTAACCATTAGAGCGTGGTGAGTTAGCAATTTTTGTTTAAAGTTATTCTGTATAAAATGATAGAAAAACTACTCAGATATAGGAGTCAGATGACTAGTAATATAATTGTTTCTATACAACACTCGCTCTGGACATGTCGGATCATTGATCGCAACCATACACATTCTCTACCTGTTTCGTAGAGAGCTATCAACTCAGCGTGATTTGATGATGTTGCAGTCAAAGTTTGTCTCATCGATCTCCATGATATTGCGGTATCTCCATAAGTAAACACATGTCCTGTTTGAGATTTTGCCTTTTGTGGATCAAACAAATATCCTGCATCAGCGTATCCAACAAGAGTGGCCTTGGCACCTTTGCGGTAAAATAAACCAAGGTCGATGGTACCATTGAGATATCGCAAAATATGTTTAATGTTATTCCAATGCCTCCTAGTCAGGGTCGAGCTTTGTTTGGCTAACAAACTAACTGAGAATCCAATATCTGGTTGAGTGTTGTTTGCTAGATACATCAAAGCTCAAATAGCACTCAGGTATGATATTTCTGGACCGAGTATTTCTTCATCATCTTCACGAGGTCGGAACAGACCATCATGTACATTGAGAGAGCGGACAACCATCGGGGATGTGAGAGGATGTACTTTATCCATATAAAACCGCTTTAGAACCTTCTTCGTGTAATTTGACTAGTGGATGAATATTCCGTCTTTCAAATGGTCAATTTGAAGACCAAGACAAAATTTTGTTCTCCCAAGATCTTTCATCTCAAATTCTTTCTTGAGATATTTTTTTAGTGTTTTCTATTTCATCAGAAGTTCTAATGATGTTTAAATCATCAACATATACTGCAATTATGGAAAAGCCTGATTTAGATCTATGGATGAAAACACATGGACTAATTGGATCATTTTTGTATCCTTCTCTAAGCAGATATTTACTGAGACGATTATACAACATTCTGCCAGATTGTTTTAGTCCATATAGTCACTTTTCTAGTTTTATGGAAAATATCTCTAGAGGTTTTGAACTATAAACCTCAGGCAATTTTAGGCCTATAGGAACTTTCATATATATATCTGTATCGAGATATCCATATAAATATGTTGTCACTAAATCCATTAAACGCATTTGAAGTTTTTCAAAGACAGACATAACTATCAAAAATCTTAACGTAGTTACATCAACTACTCGGGAATAAGTTTCTTCATAATCCATCCCCGGGATTTGAGAAAAACTTGGGCAACAGGTCGAGCTTTATATATCACAATTTCATTTTTCTCATTGCGCTTACGCAAAAAACCCATTTGAAACCAATTGGTTTCACGCCTTTTGGCATATGAACTATAGACCCAAAACCACTTTGTTTTTCAAGTGATTTCAATTTTGCCTGAATTGCTTCATTCCATTTTGGCCAATCATGTCTACGTCGACATTCATCAATTGAAGTTGGTTCAATGTCATCATTTTCATCCATGATGTTTGTGGCAATGAAAAATGAGAATATATCATCTACATGAACATCTTTTTTGTTCCATTGCAATCCCGTAGAAACGTAATTTATTGAGATCTCATAATTATCAACGTTTTCCATCTTCATCTGAATTATTTGCATCTTCAAAGATTGTTAAATCCTCAGCTGAAAAAATTGTTCGTTGATATTATTTTTTTATATCAACATGCTCGGCTTGTTCATTTTCTTTCCTTGAAGAATGAACATCTTTTGTTTCAAACATTGTCTCTTGCCTTTTAAGTTTTCTTGGTTTTCCATCTTTTGAACCAAGTGGCCCGCTACGCTTTTTGCGTATTGAAGACTCATTTGCAAGAGTTTTTTTTATTTTTCTCTGAAGGAATTTTAAATTCTGGAAAGAGCATTCATAGCAGGAATATGTGACTTTGTCACTTTCTTTGAATTGGTGAATGCGTCAGGTAATTGTTTTGCAACATTTTGTGAATGAATTATCTTTTGCACTTCTTGTTCGCATGCATTTGTTCTTGAATCAAGAAAAGATAATCCTGTTGCATTCCATGTAATCTCTTTCGTACATGGGTCCTTTTTCTCATTTCCTCCCCCTAAGGGTGGGTATACAGTCTCATCGAAATGATAGTTAGCAAACCGAGCTGTGAATAAATCACTAGTCATGGGTTCAAGAGGTTTTATAATTGACGGAGAATCAAAGCCAACATAAATTCACAGCCTTCTTTGAGGACCCATTTTTGTACGACGTGGTGGAGCAATTGGTACATATACGACACATCTAAATATATTTTTTTTGAAGCAAAGGGAATAAAATTATATTAATAATATGATGACGTCAGGGGGAGAAGTGTTCCATTCTCCCCTGCTCTGAGGTGAATGAGAAACTCGCGCTAGTACATGTGCTGCCTCATTAGCAGAGCGATAAACAAAGTGAAAATGAAAAATCCCATCGCATGATTTACAATCAGTAATAATCGAAGAAAAATAAGACCAATCATTGGAAGGGTTATTCAGTGCATTCACAACCTCCTTAAAATCGGTTTCAATCTCTACCTGCATCCAACCTTTTGATTTGATCCAACTAAGGGCCTCCTTAACTGCCACCGCCTCTACCTCCCTGGGACCGTAGCTGCCCCTGAAAGAAATATTCTTAGCCACCAAAAATACTCCAAGTTCATTGCGAGCGATGAAACCCACTCCCATCATATCATCAACCAAGCCTGTGGATGCATCAATATTGAACTTCACAAATCCATCATGTGGTCTTGACCATGAACTTCCTGTGGCCCCCTCTGGCAATCCTGCAATTGGCAGAGCTAACGACCACCACTCCTCAAAATGAGCTTTAGCTTTTAGCCACGTACCTATTAGAGTCGAGTTTCTACCCTGCCAAACTCTATCATTTCGGGTCTTCCATATTGAGCACAATACATGAAACACCAATGCTTGATCTCTCTGGTTGAAGAGGTTGAGAATCTTCTCTAGCCAAACGACAAACCCATTAACATGGGGTGTGTACCAGCCCAAGATGGAGGATGTCCACACCTGTCGTGCAAAGCTACAAGAAATAAAGAGATGCAACACCGTCTCCTCGGAGGATTGGCACAACGGGCATGTATTTCGAATCGGCATCCCTTTACGTGCGAGATTATCTAGCACCGGCAATATGTTGTTTGCAGCACGCCAAATGAGATTACGAATAGTAGGTGTGGTGTGGACTCTCCAGAGTTTCCGCCACACTGATTTTGAGTTGCTCTGCATGCTGTCATTGACCACACTCTCATCCCATGTTAGCATACGATATGCACTCTTTAACGAATATAGACCTGACCTGTCCCTAGCCCAAATGAGCTTATCAACTTGGGCAGAGTGTGAGAGAGGAATTGCTTGAATAAGCCGACGGTCTCGAACTTCAAAAATGGAATCAATAGTTTGCCAGTCCATCTTTAATCAGGTCTGCAACCTTTTGAATATCCTGCCTTCCTGGATCCCGTGTTAAAACCCATGGGTAGTCCTTATCTCCAAGCCAAGGGTCCTCCCAAATATTGATCAAAGAACCATCCCCTACCTTCCAACGAAGGCCTCTATGTAAGACCCTCTGGGATTCTAAAATACTCCGCCAAACATAGCTTGGATTAGATCCAATTCCTGCCTCCAGAAAACTTGAGTTTCGAAAATATTTGGCTTTGAAGACTTTAGAAACCAGAAGATCAGGGTCTTGGACAAATTTCCAAGCCATTTTTGCCAACATGGAGAGATTAAATTCACGAATCCTCCTGAAGTTAAGTCCCCCAGAGTCTTTATGTCGACACAAACGCTCCCAACTCATCCAGTGGATACTCCTACTATGTTGCGGGCCTTTGCTCCACCAAAACTTAGCCATCTGGCTTTGAAGTTTGTCGCACATAGTCTTTGGAATAAGAAAGAGAGACATTGCGTAGGTGGGGATCGATTGGAGAACAGATTTAAGTAGAATTTCCTTACCTGCTTGCGTAAGAAGTTTATTTTTCCAAGAGTGGAGACGCTTCCAAGTTTTTTCCTTGATATATCTTAAAGCTTCTCTCTTGTTCCGCCCTAAAGAAGCTGGAAGGCCAAGATATCTTCCAAGTTCTTCTGTCTCTGTTATTCCAAGTTGAGCAGAAATACTAGCACGTAATAAGGGAGATGTGTTTGGACTAAAGAAAACTGCTGATTTATTCAAGTTAATATATTGTCCTTATGCGGCGGCATAAATACTCAAAATAGAATGGATGCGCGTTGCCTGTGCATCTGTAGCTTTGAAGAAAAAGAGGCTATCATCTGCAAAAAAACAGATGGCTGATTTTTAGTGCTCCGCGTGCTACTCGACAGCCCGTCACCTCCGCCATACTGACTGCCTTTCGTAACAAACATGATAGACCTTCAGCTCCAATGATGAAAAGATAAGGTGAAATAGGATCACCCTGCCTGATGCCCCGACTAGGGATAATGGGACCGATGCACTTATTCCGATGCCGAATCATGTAGGATTCAGAGGTTGCACAACTTAACAACAGAGATACTACTTTCACGTGAAAGCCCATAGCGTGCAAGACTGCCTCTAAGTAAAACCACTCCATGCGATCATAAGCTTTACTCATATCAATTTTCATTGCTGCCCAACCCGATTGCCCTCTTCTCTTATTCGTTATGTGGTGCAGCGTCTTAAAGGCAATGGCACAACAATTGTGAATGTCCCGACCTGCTACAAAACCACTTTGGGTTGGCGAAATGATTTTTGGAAGGATGGTTTTCAGTCTAGAAGCCATCATTTTACTAATAATTTTATAAAGCACTCTACAGAGAGCTATAGGTCGGAGAAAACTCATATCTTCTGGTTGTGATTTTTTGGGGATAAGCACAATTTCTATAACTCCAAGAGTGACTGGAATAGTCCCAGAATTAAGATGTCCTATATAGAATTTTGCTACTTCTGACCTAATAATATCCCAATAACGATGGAAAAATCCCGGGTTAAAACCATCGACCCCTGGCGCCTTATCTAGGTGCATAGCGAAGACTGCTTTTTTCACTTCCTCTGTTGTGTAAGGTTGTAAAAGAAAGGAGTTGTCTTCACTGGAAACTGCATGTGAGATTGCATCCAGTATGGGCTGCTGTGGACCTTGCTTACAAGTGGACTAGCGGGTATAACATAGTAGAATATTCTCCTCTAGACCACTGCCCCATTCGCACCAGACGCCGGCTTCATTTTTAAGTTTATTAATTTTATTCTTTCTTAGACGTTCTGTTGCCCTTGCGTGAAAGAACCAGGTGTTCCGATCCCCATTCCTTAACCAAAAAACTTTTGCACGTTGTTTCCTGAATTGTTCCTTTTGAGCAAAGAGGTCAAAAAGTCTACATCGGGCTCTCTGATAGATAAGGCGACTTCGATGGTCCCTCCGACCTCTAGTTCTACTCATATTTAGTCTCATGAGTTTAATATCAGCTACGAAAGTATCCCTCCATTCCTCCCCCAGACCTTGAGCCTCTCTGCGCACAACTTGAGTTTATCCTCCAAACAGTATGTCTCAAAGAGATTCCAACAATCCAACAAAAGCGATGTGATTGTTGCCTTGGAATCCAAACTTTCAGCTGTAGGCAGATAGAAAGATGATCAGACGAGGAGAAATCATATGTAAAACACCTTTGCCATGGGAAATTTCTGCCTCCAAGAAGCTGAAGTCAAAAAATGGTCAAGTTTTTCCTCCACAAACGCGGCTCCTTCTCTTTCATTATTGTAAGTAAAATTGTAACCAGTTATAGGGAGTTCAGATAGACCAGCATCAAAGATAACACTTCTAAATGCCTGCATTAGGTACTCGGGTTTGGGTTTCCCCCCTCTCTTCTCTGATTGGGCAAGAATGGCATTGAAATCGCCTCCACATATCCATGGTAAGTTAGAGTCTTGAACAAGGTCACAGAGCAAATCCCAAGTCACACTTCTTCTAGACTGATCAGGATGGCCATAGAAACCCGTGTATCTCCAGCTCCCCAAAGTGGAATCTAAAATAGTAACATCAATATGGAAGCGTGAAGTAGATAAAAAAGATACTTGCAAAGGGGGCTTCCAAAAGAGAGCTAAACCCCCACTATGTCCAATTGCATCAACTGAAAAACAAGAATCATAACCCAAAATAATTTTTATATCATCAATCCTCTTGGAATTACATAAAGTTTCAATGAGAAAAATAATGCACGGCTTAACATCTCTAACAATATTTTGTAGGGTGTGGACTGCTCGTGGGTTGCCAAGCCCACGACAGTTCCAACTAATACAACTCATTGCTTTAGGCGGGCCTGCATCGCAGGTCCCGCCTCCTTCACGTTTTTTGAATCTGATACAGTTGAGAGCAAAAGTTCTTTATCGCCATTGCCCTTCATATCAATCTTCCTCTTTTTGGGATCCGATATCACGACAGACTCCTGGTGCACTAATCCACCCATCACTGTAGCTTGCCCCTCTATTCCATTAGCTTGAGGTTGCATCTGTTGCATGAGAGTATCTGAATTGTGATGTTCTACCTCATTTTCATTATTGGCAGATGCAGGTGCTTCCTTCTTGGGTGCAGGGAGTTCATCTCGCAACCATTTAGAACCGATTCCAGTTGTGGATCATTTAGACAGAGCACGCAACTCAGGATCGTACTGTCTGGCTACTTCTTTACCCCAATTCCTCGAAACAATGGGACAAAATCTTTCCCGATGGCCAAAACATCCACAAACAAAACAGAAAGTTGGAAGTCGTTCATAAGCGAATGAAACGTGGAACAGTCTTCCCCTTCTCGCTTCATCTTTGTGCCTTTTCGTAGAGGTTTACAAACATCCAATTTCACTCGTATCTTTAGATAAGTCGCCCAGGGATTTGAGTAGTTCTTGGGGTCTGATTCCATGAAATCTCCAATCTCATTGCCTAATCGTTGAGCCACCCGTTCAGAGAAAAAGCCTCTCTTAAGTCCATGGACCTGAACCCAAATAAACATCGAATGCAGGGGGACATCCCTAGGGTCATTGTAACCCTTCAATCGATCCAGTATGAGAGCTTGATTGTTGAAAGTCCAAGGGCACATATCCAAGACCCTCTCTAGCTCTGCCATTGCACCGAATTGGAAGACATAAATTCCATCGCCCAGATCTCTAACAACCATACCTTCATCCGGTCGCCAAAGAGACGCCATAGTGTTCTTCATTGCGGTAAAATTTATTGGGCGCTCCGTTAAGAATCTCCTGACTAGGCAGTTGTCGTAGTCCATTGTTACACCGCACGCATTGTCCTCGGCTTCGGCGAACACCAAACCCTCATGTTCGTCGTCATCTAGGGACAGTGAAGCCATGTCAATTTGTGCCTGATTCCCTTCCATGGTGAAATCGATCAAGCAGAGAGTCCTAAAATTGCTGAAACCCTAGCCGCACAGGAACGAAGACTCTCAGGATGAGAGATGGTCTACAAATTTTGAGGTATTGTTGGTAGGCCTTAGCCGAATTAAATTTGCAGCATGCAGTATAACATGTCCCCAAACAGATGCAGGTAAATTCGATTTCATCAATAACGGTCTAGCAATTAATTGTAATCGCTTTATTAAAGACCCAGCAAGACCATTTTGAGTGTGCACACACTACAAGAAATTTGGTATTTTGGCGCACTTAAAATAGTTATTCGCCACACTTATAAATGTGGAAAAAACGATTTGTCACACATGACCTAAATGCGGCTACGTAAATGTGGGGAATTTTTTGCCACACTTTAAAATAAGTGTGGCTAATGAATATTTTTGGAAGACTTGGCATGTGCGGGTACTATTTTATTTTGCAACACTTATGTGTTCGGAAGACACCACACATATAAGTGTCACAAATACATACATACATACATACATATACATACATACATACATACATACATACATACATACATACATACATACATACATACATACATACATACATACATACATACATACATACATATATATATACACACACACACACACACACATACCCCAGGGGTTTATCTATTAAGGCTAAAACAACTGATTCCTCCCTTTGGAAAAGACTCTACCAAACCAATGTTATGGCAGAGGAACTCAACAACATGGAGGATCAGAACCACCTCTACTGGGGGAATGATCAAAACGGATTTAACTTACGACTGGCTAAAGAGACTCTGAGAGAGAAAAATCTGCCTGATAATTTCCTCAAATTTGTCTGGAACAAATCACAAGTTCCTAAAGTTTTGTATCTTTCTCTGGAGACTCTACAAAAATACTCTTCCATTTCCTAAACAACTAACCAAATTCTGTTACTCCCTGCCATCGTTTTGTCTTTTTTGCAGGAACAATGAAGACACAAGAAATCACATATTTAAAGAATGCAACTACAGCAAAGCTATTTGGAATCAGTTTGAAACATCTTTCAGAATCACACGAACAACAACTCATGGCATAAGGGCTTACCTAATGTCATGGTGGACACAAACGAAGAACTCTGATCCAAACAGCACAACCAAGCTAGTGATTCCAAGCATAGTTAGCTTCGAAATCTGGAAAGAGAGGAATAGAAGACAACATGATGAGGACCCCAAATCTGCTTTCCAAATAATGCATTTAATTTGGAAAAACCTTATCGAATGGGCGTCTGTGAAAAGCAAGCATAAACTCTATTTCAACAAAGATGACCTACCAATGCTCAAGACACCAGCAATTTAGATTCTTAACTGGAGAGGCGAAGAAAACGGAGTCATCCTCCACACCGACGTAGCCATCAAAGAAGGGAGACAAGTTGGAGGAGCAATTCTGCGCTCAAGAACGGGGGACTTCATTGCAGCAATTACAGGGGAAGTAAGAGGCAACAATCCACTAGAAGGGGAACTAGCAGCGGCAAACCTTGGTTTGCAATGGGCGGCAGGACTTCAAACGGCACCCATCCACCTGAGAGTTGACTCTCAGAATTCAATTAAAGAAGTCAATGACTCTACTCACACAACAGCAACAATTTCCCTGATTCGGACTACACTAGCAAATAACAAGGGAACAATTAGGCACATTTCCAGAGAAGAAAACTCGGCAGCTCAGAACAACTTTTATACAGTCTACAATAATTTTAATTCTCTCCCCAAGGCTGTTAAGGGAGCAATCATTTGCGACACTTCTTGTACCAACTTTCGTATTCATTAATCAGTAATAAATACTTTTCTCAAATATATATATATATATATATATATATATATATATATATATATATATATATATATTATAATTAATTAATAACCATTATTTTAATAATATATGCAACTTTGATTTATATACAAAAATAAAAAGTATATTAGAATTCAAATACTAACATATAACAATAAGTCGATCATCCAACATTTTGTGTCTAAAAACATGAGTTATAAAAATATCCAAATGTATCTAAATTGGAGAGATATAAACAAATTAATGTGTGCAAAAAAATTCTGTAGAGCTAGGTTGACACCATCTCTACAAGCTTGAACCAATTGACACCATCTCTACAAGCTAGGCTATCCTTCTTTGATTGACATTGCACCTACAGGTTCCAAACCAATTGTGGTATTAATTTTTCATCATATTGTAAACATATGATATACTGTTGTTCAAAAATGGGAAAAGTTGATAGGCAATTTATATCACAATGCTAGAGAGATTTAGACAGCCATACCTGTTTCTTTCCTTGCTTTGGCAGAGCAAGTTTAGTCAGAGCATCCTTGAGTTCCTTTACCCGAAACTTGGCCACCTTGTCCTATAAAAGATAAATGACCTTGAAAACTTGCAATTATGAAGGTTAGAACCACAATTGAAAAAATAATAACAGTTGATGAAAAGGAATGCTCACCCTCAAATATTGCACAGAAAATAATAAAAAAGAACGATGAAAAGGAAAAGGCATTGTTAAAAGCTAAGGGTGGTGAAACTTCATGTTCAAACAAGAAAGAAAAATCATATCTTTTGTCTTTAAAAAAATACAAGCCTAACCACAGTTCACAACTAAGTAAAACAAAGTTGCTTTAGTAACTAGTCTTCCACCGGAAGCAGGCACAGGATAATGAAGGACACATAAAACCAAACCAAACAAACAGAGGTCAATTAGCATGTAACAATAAAATTATTTTTCTTTACATTAGCTTTAAGCACCATGATCTGCAGCACCCAACCAAGAGTTCAAATCACAACATCCAACATAACCAAAATCCAAAGTATTCATTGGATAATCTGTTCATCTCAATCCAAGTTTTGTCCATTTCAAAAAGATGTAAAACCTAACAAACAAAAACTAAACCAATAATGTCAGTGTCTAGAGTTTGAAAAGTTTCTTGTTCAAACCATAAATATGTACTTACATTACTAACTGCAAACTTCATGACGGGTATGCAAGTTCTCCATTCATGGTTCTTAGTTTTGTTCAAGGTATGCAAGGAGTTCTTTCTCTTTCAACATTCAAGAAAATAAAATGGAAGTGGCAATTAAAATGGTTTAAGTGATTTCTACTTTATTGATTATCCATTTTGAATAAAAAATAGGTATAAAACATGCATTGATGATTCTTTTTTAATCCTTTAAAAATTATAATTCTTTAAAAAAATCAATTTAAAACATGGATGTGATCCTTTAAAAATCAGTACAAAATATGCATTGATTACTTTTTGTAATCCTTTAAAAAAATCAGTATAAACATGCATTAATTTCTAATTTAAAACTTCAATAATCTTTTTTGCATATAACATTCAAGAAAATAACATACAACATTAACTGCAAGGTTTTGAGAGGCAAAAATGGGCCTTTAAGGCAGTTGAGAAAAATGCCTTGAGGCGTAAGCCTAAGTTGAATTTGGAAAAACTAAATCTAAGATGAATTACCCATGGTAAATACAGAATACATAATCCCTAATCATGATGATGAAATCTAAATCCTTCAATTCCCGATTTTTACAAAAAGTAGTACCTTATCTTAGTTTTTAAAATACAAAAAAAGAGAGAATTACTCCCAAAAAAATAAACAATAACATAAAATACAAAGTCACAAACGCCTCAAATCCATCTCCAAACATGATAAAATGGATATTGTTCCATGATTTTTTCTACTTCATAACCAAAACTTGACAAGTTTACTTTCACTACATAATGCAATGAAATTTGTAGATAAGCGACCTTAATACGAATCAAAGAAAAACCATAGATGAAGAGGGAGAGTAGTACTACGAAAAGGGACAAAAAATTGAAATTTGAATAGAAACTTGAAAAAATTGAAGGTAAAGTAATTAGAACATGAAGCAATTTTTGTCTAGAAAAAATTGAAGGTGAAGTAATTAGAACATAGCCTAATGCTTGAGTGTTCCTCTGTAACCTTAGGGTTAAAAAACAATATCAGAAACTAAAATTTAAAAAATCAGAAAGTAAAAATCACCATTATATTTCTTCATACATTCAACATATTTAACACATTACTTCACACAAAAAACTTAGAAATTTTTGGATATAGAATCATGATGCATAAAATTAGGAACAACAACTTTAAGAATGAAGGGGTATATAAGATGTGAACTAAAAGAATGAAGGGGCCGGTGTCATGCCTGAATGAATGAAGGGGGCTGAACGATTGTGAAGAGGATCGATGATTCTCGCCAAACGATTGAGAAGAAGCTATTGACCAAAGAATGAATCTACCCAATGGATTGTGAAGCTGAACGAAAAGTTCTCGTTAATGAATTCACTCGATTAGTGAATTCACTCGAACAAAAAGGATCGAATTGCTTACTCAATTACTTGATTTCTTAGAGGAGCGTGAGCCGGCTGGAATAATTCGATCGATGACATGTACGTACCTTTGATCGGTCAGTGATGGGTGCGAGCGTCGGATCGGATTGCTTGATGTATACCTAATCTTGATTTCGTTGGATGGGTGATGCACGATGTGTGTGCCGGCTGGAATACTTAGACCATTTGATTTCTTAGATATTTTAGGTGGACAAATAATTTAGGCGCTGGAATGAAAAAGTGAGCGCTAAAGGGGAATTATTTTCAGTAAATTTCGTCCATTGAAATTTTTTAAAGATAATTTTAATTAAAAAAATTTAGTTTCTATGTTACCGAATGAAAGAGGACTAATAATGATAGTATATACTATATGTTTATTTTATAATTAAGTATAATTATGTTATTTTGGCACACTTTTTTAGTGTGGGTATATGAAATTGCTTTTTGCCTCTTTTATAAGTGTAGAGAATGATAAAGTGTTGAATTTTATTACTACACTTGATCACGTGCAACGAATTAAATGCGGCTAAAAAGCTTTTTTCTTGTAGTGACATGAGCAATTGGATGCTCCACATCAATCTCAATAGACATGCAATAGTCATTAAATGACTGAGATGTAAATTCTCCTGCATTAACTCATAGATAAAAGACTAACATGTGATCAACGTGTTAATGCGTTGATCAACACCATAAAATAGCGAAATGGTCTACATGGTGGGGTAATTGGCCCACAAATATCTCGTTGAATTCTTTCTAAAAATCTAGGAGATTCAACTCCAATTTTATTTAGAGATGGCCTAATAATCAATTTTCCGAGAGAGCAGGCAACACATGGAAAATCAATTGATCTTGGTATCCTTATATTTTTTAATGGATGTCCAAGTGAATTTTGAATTATTTTGTGCATCATTACACTGCCAGGATGACCCAAACGATCATGCCACAATATGAATGTTTTCTGATCATCTAATTTTTTAGTAGAGACAACATTCACTTCAACAAGACTAATGTGAGTATAATATAGCCCCAAGAAATACGCTGGCATCTTTCCCAAAGAATTTTATTGCCAGATTTGGTTGTCTTTAGAGACAAGTATTCCTTTTGATTTTCTGTCATGGTTTCAATGCGATAACCATTTTTACACATATTTTTAAAGCTCAATAAATTCCTTTGGGATTTGCTAGAATATAATGAGTCTTTGATAATTAATTTTGTCCCTTGGGGAAGGATTAAACAAGCAGTTCTAGACCATTCAATGAGCTTTGCAACACCAGATATTGTATTGACATTAGTTTCAATTAGTGTCATTTGAGAAAATATTCTTTGTTTCTCAAAATGGTGTGCGTTGTGGCACTTTCTATTACACTTTGTTCTTTGCTACTTGAGCCATAAGCAGTTATCTCCATATCTTGAATACCAATAAATATATAAATAAATATAAGTTCAAGATAATTAACACAAATATCGTACATTTTATTTTAAGCTTTAAAACATACAAAATCATACAAGTACATTTTAACAATAATGTATAGATTTTAAATATTTATTTTAAAAGTAAACACACCATTACAGGGCAAATAAAAATATTTAAACAGTAGTAGTTCCACCAAAGGCCATCTCTTCACCAATTTCAGCATCATCCATGTAGAAATCAGACACATCAAATTTAGGCAAAATTCGGTTGATATCATCTGCATAATTAGCCTCCACATTTTTTCCTTTTCCTTTTGTGGAAGCTTGGTATAATTTCACCAAGTGTTTTTCCGTTCGACATTCATTGGCCCAATGTCCTTTTATGCCACATTTATAGTATTCACCACTTAGTTTTGCCTTTACATGAGTTTTAGTCTGTGTTGGTTTAAATTTTCCCTTTCCCTTGGAATATGATCCATTTGGATGTTTATATCCCCTATTTGGCCCTTTGTAGCAGTTATTTCCGCGGCCACGGTTAAAGTGTCCACGTGCACCACCTTGGATAACATTTGATTCCGGTGCTGAACCACGATCAGGATGCCCAAAATTTGTAGGGCTATAACTGGTAGGTCTCATGTTATGATTTTTTATTAACAGCTCATTATTTTGCTCAGCAACATATAATACTAAGATTAACTCGGAATACTTTTTAAAGCCTCTTTCTCTATAATGTTGCTATAATATCACATTTGTTTAACTCTAACAAGGTGACACGCCCCATACCTAATATTAAATCAAGATATTAGTGATAAAGGGATAAGAGTTATACAAATAAGATGTGTTGTTTAAGGAATTGTTTCGAGAGCTTCATATCTATAACTTGGGGGTGATAATGTGTTTCAAGATACCACTTATCACTTGTAGTATCTAATCATTACTATGGCCAACGTTATAGGTACTTAGAATAGGGTCACGCATATAGAACATATGAAAGTGTAGGATATTGAAGTGGAGTAATATGATATTTAAATATTGTGTGTATTAATATTGTGTGAAAATATGTATGGATACACACACACACACACAGATATATATATATATATATATATATATATATATATATATATATATATATATATATATATATATAGACACACACACACACACACACACATATATATAATAAATTGTATTTGTTGTTATTATTATTATTATTATTTATTTTTTATTATAAAATCCAATTTTATTAAATAAAGAGAGGGATACAATGGGGGGACTAGGCCTTAACCATGTGAGTGAAAAACATATGGATTAATAACGTCAAATTTAAGAATCCTTGTTAAGGAAACTAGGACAGTAGGATCAAAAGAAACAGTACAAGAGTTGTGAGTAATAATATTAAGGTAAGCCAACTGCGTTACAGCCCTATTGACTTGGCGTTGGATATAATTGAGACTCCAGGCTCTCGCGTGGGAGTGTCAATAAATATTAGCAATCAGGAACTTATAAAAGTTATGAGGCATACTGCTACGATGAAGGAGATTACATATATATTTGATATTGTTCTGAAACACACATAAGTGTAGTCCAAAATGAATGCAGATGGTGATCATTTGGAGGATGGAGTGAAGACTAGTTCCCCAAAGACATGATTCGGTGTAAAATTTGTTGAAACCCTTAATGAGTTTTCCTCTATGATCTCGAAAGACCGTGTCAAGGAACCAATTCAACCACAAGCTCAAGCTTGTGGTTGTGGCCCAGGAACAGTTATTTATATTCTAACACGCCCCCTCACGTGCAGGCGTAGTCTTTTTCGAGCCTTGCACGTGAAACCTTAATTTTTTTAAACTGGGTGGCGCTGAGTTTCGAACCCGTGACCTCTTAGTCAACGAGGCTCTGATACCATGTCAAGGAACCAACTCAACCACAAGCTCAAGCTTGTGGCCCAGGAGCAGGTTTTGGCCCACCTCGTTTGTCAAGGTGTCCGTCTAGACGTTCATTCCTAGCGGCCCATTAGTCTTTAGCCCAGTTGCCCGTATGGAGCATGTATCCAACGGCATGTGGCTCGTTTAACACGATTTCTCTTCTAGAAGTCCATACCCAGCGGTTCGTGGTCCTTTAGGTGTTGGCGCTCAAAAAATAAGGGAATGTGAGTTCATTTGTAAGTGGTCAACTGATTAGATTCAAAATGGCCCGGTTATCCACTTGAGGGGGAGTGTTAGAGTGCATCCCACATCGGAAGTCCAAGAGTAAAATAATCTGGTATATAAGCTCTTCAGTTAAACTAACTAATCGATTGGATTCAATCTTTTAATGTGGTTCAGCCCAAGTGTCTTATTGCCCAATCCAGTCGTCCATACCCATCCCAAATTCTATCAGACCGCACCCCATCCAATCCCCTTTGCATGGTCCATATGGTGGGCGATGGTGATCTTGAGAGTGCCCTTCGTCGGAGGCATCCACCTCCCAATTTCTAGCTTCTTGATCCTTCATGATCGGGTGTGAAGTATAAGCGGAAAAGGATTGACACCCAATTTAATCAAAATAGGCCTGCAAAAAGAAATAAAAGCGATATCAGAGATGACATTATTGATTATAACCCCATTGCTTATGTCTATATTTTCAAAAAAAAATAAATCATGTTTTGCACTTTCCAGAGGTTCCAGATTATCACGTTGGGAATGAGAATAATGAGATCATTTTTTGAAGTTTTTCTTTGTTAAAGCATTGTTCTAGAAGATCAATGGTATTATCCCAATACCATTGGATATTCTAAAAAATGGAGAATGTAGACTCTAACAATTCCAAGTCGGGGCACTCTTGGGGCGATCGATAAAGAAGTGGTTAATGGAATCTTCATGAGTACAAAAAAGACATTTAAAAGGGCACTGAAACCCAAATTTGGTGAGCGGGTCTCCAAAGGCAAGTAAGCTATTTGGCACTCTCCAATTAAGAAAGGAAATTCTCTTTGGCAATCTCGTAGTCCCTATGATCTTGGCCATTTTGAGTTCGGTACGACAGTCTCTAATCATATTGTAAGAACTCTTAATGGTGAAAGTTATATCAGGACTTGGCATCCAGGCATTTTCATCCTGACCTTCAGTGAAGTTGATCTGCAAGCACAACAACTTGAAAGCAATATCACATGGGAAGAGGTTAGTGATAAGGCGATTAGTTCTATTGTTCTCAAATGCCTTCACTGTTGGACATGAGTTCAAACCCCTTTTATATATTCTAGAATATTTTTTTGGTTTTGATAAATGACAAATAGGATGATTAAAATCAACAATGATCGAAAATTTATTTTTATATCGAGAAAAGCAAAGAGGCGTATCAAGAAATTTACAACGATAAAAATCAACGCTCACCCCTACACAGAACTTTTGAAGTGAAGTGAAGATTCCTAAGGGTTTAATTTTTTATTGAGTATAGGAGTTTTGGTAAGGATGACAATAATTTTTTGCATAAACAAATTTATTTTTTGAGAGACAAATTATTATTTTCTAATCAGTTGAAAAATCATTTTTTCTCTATCTAACAATAATTTACTGAGTTAGTTTCAAAATAGTGTATTAAAATTTCTTAAAATATTTTTTAAGATACACAATTTTTTTGTGGTAAGAAAAATATAATTCAAATGTTTTTCGTTTACACAGTTTGACACACAAAATATTTTTGGGACTCAATTTCTACATCACTAAAATCATTTCTTAATTCAAAGTTTGAATTTGAATTAATTCAACTCAAACCCATATTATTTATTTGATTATGGGAGCCTCATCATCCCTTATTTCTTGTCCAAAACAAATCAATTGGTCCAATATTGTGCATTCAACTCGCACACATGTTTGGGTCCTCCTTGTTTGGGAAATGTTCTTCAGGTGATCGATTCATTGCTTAGATCGATCCAGTGTGCAGAGTTCCAACCAGGTGATCGATCCACTGCAATGGATCGATTCATTTATTTCGGTGATTTTCTTCGGAGGATCGATCCAGGAAGATGGATTGATCCCCCGTGACTTTGTCAAAACTTCTTTCCTGATTTTTTGATTCCTTTGGAGCGATCCTTTTCCCTGGATCGGTCCCCCGTGCCTTTGACAGAAAAAACTTTTCGAATCTTAACTCCAGGTGATCGATCCCTTAGTCTGGATCGATCCCCAACGTTTATTTCTGTCAAAATCAGCTCTTCCCTACCTCCAACGGATTTATTTCTTTTAACCTTATAAAGTCCCTCATCCTCTTTCATCAAATACACATCTCTTGCACTCCAAACCTTCATTACTCAATATTCAACTCTTGCTTCCATCTTCCTCATCAAATATATTATTTTGAGAGTTAGAAATATTTTTGAGTGCTAAAGATATTATCATCCATAGAGCTTTCATATTTCAACACTTCTTACTCAATTATATGAGCTTTCATTCCTGTGTTGTAAACTCTATCTTGTTTGAGTGTTTTTAAGACTTGTGTGATTCAAGTCTTGTTGGTTGTTGTTAAGACTTGTGTGACTCAAGTCTTGTTATAAGAAGTTGAGGCTTGTGTGATTCAAGTTCTCGAGTTGTATCGGTATTTCAAGCACCTGTTGAAGCTTGAAGATTAGGGACCTTTGAGAGAGTCCCTCGGGGGACTAGACTAGCCACGAGGTGGTGAACCAGTATAAATCACGGTGTACTCCTTTCCTTTGCTCTTTACATTTTTCTTGCGATTTTGTTTTGTTACCACACACACGATAAACGCACATTCTAGCGAACAACTCTATTCACCCCCTCTAAAGTTTCACTTTTTTCTAACAATTGGTATCAGAGCAGGAAGTTCTTCGAATACTTCTTAATTTTCAGGAACTAAAAGATCAATGGAATCTAGAATGCTCAATGCAGGAGTTAGCAAGGGACAATCAAACACGAGGCCACCATTGTTTGATAGAACAAAATATTTTTATTAGAAGGAAAGGATGAGAATTTTCATCCAATCCAATGACTACAAACTATGGTTAATTGTCAAGAACGGATGTGGAGTCCCAATGAAGAAAAATGGTGATAGAGGTAATCGTGTCATCTTTGATTCTAGTAAATGCATTGTGTCATCTTTGATTCTAGTAAATGCATTGTAGAACGCTTATGTGGCAATAAGGCTATTCTTTGTGGTAGTAGAGTAGAAAACATTTACATGTTTGATCTTGAAAATTCCACATCTACCTTAGCTAAGTGCCTCATTACCAAAGAGGAAGAAACGTGGCTATGGCATCGTCGGATAGCTCACGTTAACATGGACCATCTTAATAAGTTGGTCTCTAAAGACTTAGTAATTGGTGTTCCTAAACTTATGTTTGAGAAGAATCTAATTTGTGATGCATGTCAAAAGGGGAAGTAAGTAAGGGCCTCATTTAAGTCAAAGAACGTTGTTTCTATAACTAGGCCATTACAACTTTTGCACATGGAACTTCTTGGATCTTCAAGAACTATGAGTCTAGGAGGCAATTACTTAGGCTTTGTTATCGTTGATAACTATTTGAGGTATACATGGACACTTTTTCTAGCTCATAAGCATGATGCGCTTAATGCTTTTAAGAAATTCATTAAATTGGTTCAAAATGAAAAAGATTCTCACATTGCATCCATTAGAAGTGATCATGGGGGAAAATTTGATCAAGACGGCTTTGATGTCGTTTGTGACGAATTAGGCATTGAGCATAATTTCTCAGCCCCCCGTACACCACAACAAAATGGCGTGGTTGAACGGAAAAATAGGTCTCTTAAAGATATGGCTAGAACTATGCTCAATGAGGCAAACATTTGTTGGGAAAAATATTATAGATTTTGATGATGATGTATTTAGATTGTAATAGGGACTTTAGGTCTCCTCCAATACTCAATGTAATTTTTCTTTTTAGAAATATTGTTAAAACCGAGTTCTTGATATTTCCAATAAAACTGTGATATTTCTTTAAGTGGTTTGATGCTTGAAGACTTAATCAAATTCAGTGATATGGAAATTGGATATCTTGATCGGAATGTTGAAACACGGGCTTGTCACGTTTTCGTACTAAAGCCGTGTTCGTTTTTGTAACAGGTTTTGATAATGCCAAACCGTCGTGATCAAGTCGAACATTGAATATACAAGGCGAAGAACGAAGATAAGAGCAAGAGCTAAACGAAGACCAAGAACGAAGACCTTAATCATAGTATTGAGTCGGTCTTTATTGTGATCAAGACCGACCCAATCTTTACACCTTGGCTCTCTAGGCTAAAAACTCTCATTGCATTTCTTACATCATAAAAATGGTTTTAAACTTGTTTAAATCATTAAAAACACTCGGTGTTCACCCAAACCAAAAACCAAGGCATCCAGTGTTCGGCTCTCAGAAACCAGCGTTCGGCTTTCGGTTGTCGGGTTTGGTTTTTGGCATCCGAACCAACCAAGTGGTTTTCAGCATTTTATGATCTGCTTTCACTCTTTGGCATGTTTAAATGGTTCTCCAACAAAAACACTTTGAAAACCATCTCTCGCTTTTAGTCGTTTGACAAAAACCACGCAAAACGGCGTAAACTTGGCTAGCCGTGGTTTTTACTCAAATGACGTGATTTTTAAAGTGTTTGACTTGATTTCTTAGCCAAATACATCAAGTAAGTGTTTTAAACACTTGGTTTTTATTTTGGAGAACTTTGGATTTTTCGGTCGGTTTTTGCATCGGTTGGCTAGGCCGTGGTTAAGGCAAAAACCATAGGTTTTTGGCTAACCACCCACCCAGCGATGGGAAGAACATCCCATCGATGGGTAAGTAGCCCCTTAGCCAAACCAACTTCCAGAACCATGCCAAACAGCGATGGGAAGCTCTACCCATCGCTGTTCAAGCCTTGGTCCAATATTATCACAAGG